TTATAACAATACAACTAAGTAGAACCCGAGGCAGAACAGGCACCAAGTTCTTACCGTGCAATATTTTTTGCCTCGTGACTTGCACCAGCTGCTGTCATGAGAGCGCGAACCGTGGCTATCGATCTCTCGTCATATTTGATTGGTTCTTGTTTCTGGCACTTTCTCATGGAGCGGATCGATATCTACACACAGCCTTTTTATGACGTGACTTTCTAGTCAGCGATCCGCCTGATCGACTGCCATTCCCTCTGCGTGTTGTCTATGGGATCAGCGGTCGCGGCACCTTACGGATTGCATTTAATACAAGTCAAAGCCATAGGAGTCATAACACCGGGCATGTATGTCCTTATTGAGCAAATGGTAGAAACCGTCCGCAAAGTGTGCTAAGTGGGAATGCACACGGAGCAAATAGGAATTCCTTGTGTGCGATGAAAACTCCAAAGCATGCGTTAGGGTTCACTTGATATTGTCTGATAGAGATCCAGTCAAAACAGGTACTATCGAAGAGGGGATGAAAAGCTCCTCAGCAAACATCTGGCGTCCACACTTTCACTGGTAAATGTTGTTTAGCAGAACGCCAGACTGTCGTACCAGATCGTGTGTTTACTTGTCAACCGTGATTAATAGAACCTGCTTGTGTCCTCTCGCCTCAACCAACCGAGCTACGAGGCGTCCACCAGTAGTCCCCGGAGAATAATCGCACTTGGGCAATTCCCAAAGTCAGATGCGTTATTTAAATCTGACTATAGCCTCTGTTAGTGGTAATATTTAGATAAATAGGGACATGGCACGTTCTGTTAGGAAAGTTCTCTGCGGTATAGGACTCATTACAAATTCTATTTACCTATATGTGGATACTGATACTAGAATTGGTGATCATACTAGCAATGTCCAAGCTGTCCTGCATGTGAGCCATCATATTACACCGCACAGTAAGCTAGCAGCCAAGAGTTAAGCAGTACACCCTATTATTTGTAGGGTTTGGGTTAATGGACACAGGAAATTACGCTTACGAACCGAATATAACTGACAATTCCCAAAGTCAAATGCTTCATTTAAAACCCGACGATAGCCTCTATTAGTCGTAATATTCCGATTAAAGGACACATGGCACGCCTTCTGCGTTATAAACCTCTTTAAAGACTCCAATCACCCTCACGTGGATACTGAATTGTCTCCCATGGGCGACAGCTGTGCTCTCTCCAAACAGCACTATGCTCTTTGTATTCAGGAATTCCAATAATTCATGGTCATTCTAAGAATGTGCAAGCCAATTAAGATATGGGCCTCACGTGAGCCACGATCGAACACCGCACCATCATTGGACACACGACAGCCTTGGTAGTCGTGCTTTAAAGCTATTAGTACAAGATGCCTCATGAGCGCAGAAGCCGCGGCCTAAGAATTAGTAATCCGTACTTTAATCCTACTTAGCATTTGAAGCAGCTTGCATCAATGCGAACGCATTGAC